TAAAATATTTTTCGTGTGTATTAAAAAGTTTTATTCAAGTAGTAAATTGTGGTAGCCTAAATGAGATACAGTTATTAAACTTGTAAATATATAAAACATAGAGAGAAAGAGCTACAAGGATGTGTATGCCCACGCTGTGTTTGTGTCTTGTAGCAATTACAGTTTGTGCATAACATATATGGCAAAACCATCCTTTTTGACAATAAAATAAATATGTATTTTTTAAAAAGTTATAAAGGTTTATTAATAAAATAAGTGCTGTTAAATGTTCTCTATGAAAGTATAATTAGCCAACATATAGCTCTATGGATGCACGGAGATGAATGTGCTTGTGAAGGTACACGTATGTGTGTGGCCATTAGATCAAATACACTCTCTGTCTTCATTAAAAACTTCTGTATTAATAAAGCTATTGATATATTTATAACGGTGTATAAAAGTAGGAAGCTAAAAGGAATTATTATAAACATGGCATATGAAAATGAAATTTTAATTTATATATTTATAAATTTATATACACACACATATCCTTAATGCGTGTATTAAAATATATTAATTTATATTACAGCTATGTATTTAAAACTAATGAAAGCATGCACACAGAGGGGAGATTGAGTCAGTGTTTTATTAAAACATACATTTTGTGCATAATAGGTACTGTGTATTTAAAATGCAGACTTTTATAGGTAGATGTGCCTATATATCATGCTCTATACCCTGCTATAAATATACAGATACATATGTACACATGTTTAATAACCTGTATACAGGAAGGGTTAGTCCTGAATCATAGTTTTTCTCTCTCAGGCTGTATCTTTATATAAACTAGATATCTAAAAGCCTGTAGCATGTATTATCTGTCATGTGGTCCATATAAAATATTAGCTATAATGGAGAGTAAAATTAATAAGTTATGTTGCATGCTACAATAAAAAGTACTCCTTGATATGCAGCATTTGAATTTACAGTGAATTAAAACATGATCATATCTCATAATATATAAAGTGTATATCATTACTTTTTATATATTTTTGTTAAAATAGTAAATAGTACTATTAGTACTAATAGTATAGTTTGAATTATTTCATCTCATGTAAATGCACATTTTCTGTGGTTATACCCAACCCTGGTGGCAGCTGGGAAGGTTGGGGAATATTTGCCCCCCCCAGATTAGCTGGGATCCATCCCCAGGTGGGACAGACCAGAGGATGGGGGAGATAAATTCCCTCCCAAAAGTCCCATGCCCTGATACACCAAAACAAGCACACAGCTGAGAGAAGAAAAATTTAAAAGTTTATTAAACATTAAGAATAACAGACAAAAAAAAAAAGATTTGGGCTGAACAGCATACAGGATGCAAACCATTTCTTGTCATACAGATAATTTGATCTATTTGTTAAACTTGTATTTAATTCTGTCTTGTGGTGTTGCCAGAAATACGATGGTTGATCACATATAAATTTTAATATAATTTTTTTTCTTCACATAAAAAAGTCAACAAAATAAAAATAAGCTGCACATCTGTATTGTAAAATTACCTGCAAAAATAATTTTAAAGCAATAATTGGGGGTATTACAAACCCACAGAGGCAAGATATTCAAATGAGAGGGGTCTGAACTGATCCCATCCCTGGTGCTTGCTCCAGCTCCTCCCCTGCATTCTGAATTTCTTGCTTTTGTGGATTCAAGTCAGAACTTATTTCCATGGTGCTTGGCTTAGTGACTTCAGCACCACTCGAAACAGAAGAAGAAATACCCCCCCTCCTCTGCCACGGGCTTTCCACAGAGAGCCCCAAGGTGCTCAGATGCACAAATCCATCTCCAGTCCCACTGATTTCTAGAGGGCATTCTTTTGTAAAAAGAAAAAATCCACTTCTAAGGTTCAGCAAAAAATGAAAGAGAAGACAAGCATTTTACCAATGCTTATAGTGTAATAGAGGTCAGTGGATTATTTAGATAAGCTATTAATTATTCTGCAAATATATATATTTCTATTTTTATAAAATTACAATTTCTTATACCTAAAAGCTCCTTCATGAGCAACAAAGCCATCAGAGGTGTGATGAGCCCAGCTGAGCTGTCCTTGGGAACTGAAAAATGAGCTGAACTTCCATTTATTTATTTTCATTGTTATTTCAGGGAGACAACCTGGATAGTGAACTTGGGATTTTCCAAATTTTAAGCCCACACATTCTGCCTTTTTTTTTTCTTTTTTCCCCAGGTGAGCTTTTCAGAGCAGCCAGAGTGTCTAAGTCCCACAGGAACTGGGGAGTGCCCAAGTCCCACAGACCCCTCAGAAGTCCCCAAACCAGAAGAGAGGCTGTGACAGCTGTGACATTCCCAGGGCTGGGATGGGACAATTAGGCACCAAAGTGGCTCTGGGACTGCTGGGCAAGGCAGAGCCAGGAACCTTGTGCTCCTCTGTGGCCCTGCCTCAATAAACCTGATATCCAGTCTTCAGCCACTTCCCTGCCCAAAGAAACAAAAGAATTCTCTTTTTCCTTTTCTAAGCTGCCTTCTGCATGTTACACAAAGTTTTGTGGTCACAACCTGCCCTAGCAGTGGCACCACTGACCTCACCCTGCCCTGGGGTCCCCCCAGAATTCCCCCTTGTGGGGGTGATTTGAGACTGCTGCAATTTGCTGTGCTGCTGTTGAAGGTGTGCCCGCAGCAGCTCCAGTCCTGCTTCTCCCAGAGGGAAAACCAGGGGCATTCCCAAGGGGCTGCAGCAGAGACCCCAACTGTGCCTGCCAGACCCTCCTGACCCCTGCAGTGCCTTCTGCTGACCTTCAGGGAATAACTCACTGCACTTCAGACCTTCTGTAGCACATGGAAACTCGATTTGCTGCACAAATGGCCCACGGGCAAGCACTGCACCTTACAGGACACCGAGAAGCCAGGTATGGTTGTGAAAAAATACTGGAGAAATGCCATCCATGCAAGGGTGCTTTTAATGCTGACCAAAAGACTGAGTTCTTTGCAGCCATCTCCTGAAGCATGAATAATGATTTAATGGAATGAACAACGTTTTTATTTGAAAATAATGTCAGAACGCTTAGAAAACTGTGAGCAAGACGTAGCACCGTATTTTCCTCACATTACTAACTGTATGCAGTACACAGAGCTGTGTATAGGATCTGAGCTGTTTATAACAAAAAAATTCAGCTGGAAACAGATTCTAGCAGCAGCAGATTGGAAATTAGAATGAGTGGTTTTGTATTATATATTATTTTTCTGCCATTACAAAATGTTGTAATGTCTAATCAATAGTTGACTAAAATCCATGTTGTGCTTTGTCCCTGTTAAACAGTTTCTTTATGTGTTTCTGATGAAAAATAAAAACAGTCTCTCTTTTTCAGTAATATGGAAAACCCTGGAAAGCCATATTACTTCCATAAAAATTTAATTTAAAGCACAGAACATGCCAGTGTGCCAGGCTTAAAATTACGGATTTAAAAAAAAAAGAAAACGACAACCAACAAACCCCTAAGCATTTCCTTTCTATACAATAATGGAGAATATATATCTTTGCTATATATTTTAAACATGGAATAGCTTTTTCTTTTTGCTATATATATGTCTTTCAAAATACATTGTCAGTATTTGTACTTGAAAAATACTGTACAAAACGAACATACTATAATTATTCTGTATAAACTTTATACATTTTATAATATCTATCCTTTTGGTCTAGAGTAAACACTTAGATTGATCGGATTAACCACAGTATATGACAACACCATCCCCCTCTGAAATACACCAGTGTCTCTTACATTCATTTTTCAGAAGTCCACTTTATATTAGAACATACATGTTCAAAAGCAGTTTAAAACAATAACGTTCAGAACCATCAGTTCATGTCACACTCAAAATAACAATCACTAAGAAAAAATGGGCTTTGCAAACCAGTGACTTCTTCTAACTGAATAAAAGTGATTTTTTTTAAAACAGCAAGATATAATCCACAGAAAATATATTACAAAACATGGGAAAAAAACAGCTGAATTTAGGTATTTATTCAACTTTTAATCACAAAATGGAGTAACTAACTGAAAACAGAAAAGCCCCTCTGATTTCAACATCAGATCTGATTTGAAGCTATTTAATTTTGTTCTCATTTTCAACTAACAATCCTGCTCCTTACACATGCGCTCCCCCACGGCAGGGACACAGCCAGCATGCTCATGGGAACGTGTCTGGGACTTTTTGGAACTCCTTGTTAAAGACATCGAGACTGCTGTTGGGTAGGGAACCACCCACGTCCACTGGGAACATCCGGGCAGCATGCACGCAGGATTATTGCTTCAGGTACAGGCAGTGCAAGGAACACGCTCTGTGCTCTACCAACAACTCCTACCTACCTACCTGGGGTCCGTGGAGAGAAAAGGAACCTTAGTAGCTATAGAGAAGCCATTATGGGATTTATCATGAGTATAGCTAAACTCAGTCTAACAGCACTTTTTAAATCTGAAGACAATTATTACCAAAACTTAAAAATACAACAAAAGCAATCTATAAATTAATAGTTCTGCAGTGTAGTACTAAATTATTATTTGTGCACTTTATTAGCATGTTAACTTTTCTGATTAGACAGACTTAAAACGATAGCTTGTTACTCTCGAAAAAAACTGAGATCTACCTTTTTTTTCTTTTTTCTTTTTTTTTTTTTCTTTTTTTTTGTAATTTATGCTGGGATCTTTCCAAGTAAATCAGGAGGATGGAACTGATTACGAGAACATAAAACCCCTACTCTGAAGCAGCACTGAAGGAAAAAAAAAATATATATATATAATAAAAAGCTTACTATGGCGGTTCTCAACAGTCCAGGTAAAAATGTGGCACCCTTTGAAGAGGGCTGATAAAAATGGGAAGTGCCGAGATGCGCACGCACACGCACAGCCACGCACATGCACACCCACAGACACAGACCTGGGCACACACGTGTGCACACACACACGCAGGGACATGTACACGCAAACAAAAAGAAAAAAAAAAAAAAAAACAACAAAAAACCAACGTTAAGTCAGTTTTGTTTCTGCTTCTGGTAAAGTGCTGAAGACAGAAAGGTTGGTTTGGGTGTGGTGCTATCAAACAGGAAACACATTGTCCATCTAGTCAAATACCAACCCACAACAAAGAAAAAAAAAGAAAAAAAGAAAAGAAAAAAGAAAAAAACCCCAAAACACCCCACCTCCCCCACCTGGGATTTACAGGGGGCCGTGCCGAGCTTCGTACTTGGCCAGGACGTTCTTGCACTTGCCCAGCTCTTTCCGCAGGTCGGCCACCTCCTGGCGCAGGGCCGAGTTCTCCTTCTCCAGGAAGGAGGCGCGGATGGCGATCTGGTTCTCCTTCAGCCGCCGCGCATCCCGCGAGCGCTTCGCTGCCATGTTGTTCTTTCTGCGCCTGGCCCAGTATTTGTCGTCCTGCTCGTGAGACACACAGAGAGGCAAACAAAGGTGTTACATTTTGGTAGATGCAGAGCTGCCCACCGGGAGCCGCTCCCAGAGGTGCCTCTGGACCGCGGGTGGCCGCGGTGTCACCCATGGCACGGCGGGACCGGAGTTACAGCTTTGTGTGGCACAATCTGCCCTGGCAGCACAGATGCCCTCACATGTTTCTGTCAAAATGTTTACACTAACCCCCTCATCCTCCTGACAGGGAATTCCTCCAAGGAAAAGTGAAGCAATGTTCCGGAGGTACAATCCATCTCCCATCTAGGCTGACCTAGTTAGTCATGTGCCATGAGTCACCCTGAACAGTGGCTGCAGCAGCACTCGTTACCTCTGGCCCTGCTCAGCACTGCCAGCCAACACCTGGTTCACTCTCTGTGTTGATATCACCCATTTTATCTACTGCTCTGCTCTTTTTTAATGTTCAAAGCACTCTACAGAGCCCCAAAATGTTCCTGTCTGCACCACTGTCACTACAAGAGGATTCCTTGGCACAGTGATCATGACTGTTCTGGGACCAACCACAGAGATTAGTACAATAGGCTTTGGCTATGGAAAAAAAACACATTGGACAGAAATAGGTCCACTACTCCCTGAGGTTTCATAAGCTAACACATTCCCAAAGTGTTATCCCTGAAGACTTGCCTCTAGATCACCTTACTGCACTGGTGTATCAAAGACTCAAAGTAAGGACTGAATTTCACCTGATTTTTCCACTCTTCCATTGAAGTGGCCTTCAGCAAATTGGCAGTTTTCATGTTGCTTCATAACTGAATTAAGTTCCAGAACTTTGGAACAACTCAGGAAATACAAAGCAGGTAGAATCTCTTGTGAAAAGTGAAATTCTGTCCCTGGCAGAGTATGAGTGATGCAGCCACTCAACCCTCAAACTCTGCCTTGCCAAGTCACAGAGTTCAAACTCCCTCTTTCTTCATCCTAACATGCTTCCAATTCCCCATGCAGCTCCCAAGAACCAGCACAGGGCACGAGATCCAGCTGCTCCTATGCTGCACTGAGCAAACATCCACCACTCCTGGGTTCTTCTGGCCAGCCTAATCCTGCTGCTCTGCACCTTCTGCTGCTGCACAAGGCAAAGCAGGAGCAAAACAACTGCTGGCAGGAGGGCTCTTGAACTGCTTTCTATCAGTTTGGCTCAACAAAGAGTGCAGGAATGCTGATCTGGAGCCAGCATTATCTCTAAATGGCTCTTCACCTGTACGTAGATGGGCCCCAGCAAAATCCTCCGAAAAAACAAGCATGCAGCAAAAAGCTGTGACCCAAATCTTGTTTATAATTTCCCATCTCAATTCACTCCATAAAAATCAGCTTTAAGCAATTTATTAGTGTGCCACCTAGGCTTCATCCCTCTTTATTTTAACAAATTGCTATGGCAAATCCCTTAATCCAGGCCTGAAAGAGGTAAGGCTGGCATTTCCAAATCACATGCAGCCCAGAGACGATTGACTGGTCTAATCTGCTTACCCTCCCCCAAAACCCAGAGGCTCCACATGCCAGGGCAGGAGCAGCACTTGGGTCAAGCACTCTGAAACGAGTCAAGGGCAAGTGACGGGATGATCCCGAGGGAATGAGAGACCCTGAGCTCCTGCTTCACTCCTGTGCTGCACTGCTGGGCTCCACCTCTGGCCAACAGGACCTTTGCCAAAAGCTTGCTTTGATGAATAAGGGTACCTGGGAGACGTGACAAACTCCAGCCATTCCTGCAGCAAATACCTCTCCCTTGGGCACTGCAACCCAACAGGGCATCACAGGCAGCAGAACTTGCCCAGGTAAGCAACAATGTGCAGGCAAACCTTTGTAAAGGAAAGCTGAGTGACAGCAACCTGAACATCACTGCAATTGTGATTTCTGTGCTTTTAACTTGCACCACAGCATGCTTAGGGATAAAAATAGTTTCTTTCCCTAATGCTATCAATCTGGTGCAAACACATGGCATCCCAGGCTCCCTGCACATGCAGCCAGGGATTCCCACTGACTCCAACAGGCTCTCAGGCTGTGTCTCTTGGGGGCAGTAGCAACAACAGAATGAAATTCTGCCCTGACTGCCTCTGATAAAAGAGATTCTCTTGGACAGCACATACCAGGAAAACAACTTTGCAAATAATATTGAGAGTGTTTGATAACCTGGATCAGTTGATCAATTTTCCTGCTATCTTCATGCACTTTGCTCTTCACATCTCAGAAGCAGTGAGTGGCACAGACTCTTTCTTCTAAAATATTGGTGTCGTATTGTATTTTACATATTGTATTAAAACACACCTCTCAGCAGAAAAATTCTGTTTTCTTCTGTTTTCCTATCACTTGTCTAGATTCTTTCACCTGGATTAGTGAATATATATTAGTGAAATAGCTTTAACTATAGTGTTCTCATTCATTATTAAACACAGAACTACAGCAATTTCCGAATAAGACACAATATACTTCAGTATGTCATCAGGGTCCTCCATTCTCCTTGAAGGATTCACAGCCTGTGCTGAATAGACAGAGGATGAAGATAAAGAAAACATGAACAGAGACAGGACGAAGAAAAAGGAAACATGATCAGACGAAGAAAAAGGAAACATGATCAGGCTGTTTCATAAGTGGGAAATATGGGACAAAGCAAGCTTGTCCAAGGTCAAGCAGGAAGTTTCTGGCATACAAAGGAAATGAATACTGAGCTCATGAATTTCAACTGTTGCATAACTAATAAGGGACATCCTCCCTTCAGTCTCATCCAGAACCCTGAACAGTTTTATTCTACAGCAAAGTCAGATTTACATGGAAAGATTTACCTTACATGACAAAACAGATTCATGCTCCAAATCTGTACCTCAGTGAGCAACTGTCAGAGACCCTGTAGGAATCACCTCGTCACCAGTTCCAAATTACCTTCAGGTCATCTGGGATGAAGACTTTGCGAGCTTTCTTAATCATGGGCTGGGGTTTCAGCTCCTCTTCGGAGAACTTGCGCTTGCGAGGATCGAACATCTCCTGGCCAGGAATGCTGGACAGAGCGAGATCTGCAGGGTCAGGTTCGTAGCCCACAGGAACTTGGATAGTCTCAGGATCAATGGGGCTTGGTGTGTTCCGGTTTGCTGGCAAGATCTGACCTACAGAAATACAGGACAAATACAGCTGGGTTAGAAAAATATGTTAATTGTAGCAAAGGTTTTTAGAAGATCTCTACAGATTTTACAAGCAATAATTCTTTCAGCTTTCCCTTCAGATTTGGTATCTATGCTTACTAAATATTAGATTGTCCATTCTGCAAGGTGCATATTCTGACCCAGACATGTTCATGGCCTTTATATTCAGAATCTGTTCCTAACTCTGGTTGCTAATCTTGGATTCCAACGTAACATCGCTGAATCCAACACTGGACTGCAGGCAGAAGATATATTGCTCCAACCTGTACCACTTCATTAGGATCCCATCCTCTGGAACAGATCAGAAGTACTGTCATTTACTTCAGATCTATCAGCACGCTATAACCCCTCACAGTTATACATCTGAGGGTATGTTTATTTTACAATCAAACAATGTACTGTACATGCCATGAATAGCATCTTATGAAAATGTACTTTCAGCTGTGCTGAAGCACTCCAAGGAGACTGCTATTTATTCTTTATGAAATCCGATCAGGGATATTCTAAAAGACAGTGAAGGAAACCAGTGACATGAAAGGCTACAATGATTCCTTAAAGATGCTCTGCAAAAATTAAAAAGACACTCATCGATGCTGCGTTTCTCTTTTATGGTATATAAAATCTAATACAAAGGAGCGTATCCCCAGAAAATGAGCACTATACCTCCCATTTTTCTCTTTTTGATTTTAGATAAAGCCTTCAAGATCCTACAGCACCAATGTGGGCACCATTCCCACTAAAAATCCAATTTAAAATCTCAACCAAAGGCTCCAAAAATAGGATCCTGAAGTCAGCTGCCTAAACATGGACTATCCCTGGGGGCAGAATTTTCAGAAGTTTTCACATGCCTCAGAAGTAGAAGCCTCACAGACTTCAGAGGGAGGCCTTCTGATTGAAGCAGATATTCTTTTATCATTTTAGCTATTTGCTAATTCACTTTAACTTTAGCAATATGATGGCTTTCATGATAACTACAAAAACATCCTGTGGCTGTGTAATATTTCCTTACTTGTGCCCATGTCTGCAACATTTAGGGTGTAAAACAGTAAACATTACATGCCATTTCTAATTCCAAGGCCAACATTAACAATGTAGTTTTTATTTTAATAATATGGGAACTGCACGGAAAATGCACCGGGGGAATTGCACTGCGCAGGGCTTGCTAAGGGAGAGCTTTTGTAACTCCTATTTTAGAGCTGATAAAATCAGCTTCCAGGAAAGGCTGGTGAGGGCCGGGGAGAGGAGAAAAGGAGGATCAAAGTTATCAAAATATAGATGCGGCTACAGGAGAGGGAGCGCGAGGAAAGGATGCTGCTGCACGCATGGTGCCACTGCGGAGCGCTGCCGCCCCGGCTCGGCTGGGGACTCGCTGCTGGAACGTGGCGCTGCGCTGTCCCTCGTTAGTGCAGCCGGGAACCGGGGGTGCCAGGGCTGCTCCCCGCTCCCGGGGCTAGGAACGCGGCGTTTCCATCGGCACCCCGTTAATACAGCCGGGAACCGGCGGTGCCAGGGCTGCTCCCCGCTCCCGGGGCTAGGAACGCGGCGTTTCCAGCCGGCACCCCGTTAGTGCAGCCGGGAACCGGCGGTGCCAGGACTGCTCCCCGCTCTCGGGGCTAGGAACGCGGCGTTTCCATCGGCACCCCGTTAGTGCAGCCGGGAACCGGCGGTGCCAGGACTGCTCCCCGCTCCCGGGGCTAGGAACGCGGCGTTTCCTTCGGCACCCCGTTAGTGCGGCCGGGAACTGGCGGTGCCAGGGCTGCTCCCCGCTCCCGGGGCTAGGAACGCGGCGTTTCCAGCCGGCAGCCCGTTAGTACAGCCGGGAACTGGCGGTGCCAGGGCTGCTCCCCGCTCCCGGGGCTAGGAACGCGGCGTTTCCATCGGCACCCCGTTAGTGCAGCCGGGAACTGGCAGTGCCAGGGCTGCTCCCCGCTCCCGGGGCTAGGAACGCGGCGTTTCCAGCCGGCACCCCGTTAGTACAGCCGGGAAGCGGCGGCGGCCTTTCCCCGGCCCGCCCGCGGTGCCGCGGGTGCCGGGCGCGTTCCCGGCGCAGCGCTCCGGGATAACCGGGACAGCCGCGGGGAGGCTCGGCCCGCACGGCTGGGGCCCCGAGCGGCTTCCCACAAGCTTCATCCCTCCTGGAGACGGCGGAGCGCGGGCTTGAGTCACCTCCCCCCCGGTGTCACCTCCCGTCAAGGGACGGGCACCCGGCCGTGGGGGCCGATCCATCGCTGATGGATGGATGGGCTGCCACGGGGTCCTTTGAAGGAGCCAATTTACAAATTGCCAGTGGCTTTGAAGGACGAAACACAGGAAAAGCTCCTTGGGTGAGTGCCTCTTCCGCAGCAGCCAGGTACTCCTTACTGCAGACAAATACATAGATGGATGCACCTACAAATGGTGCACTTTCTGTAATACTGATAAAAATGAAGTAAGACACGAGCTCTGAGCACTTTTATAATATTTCTGGTGAGCCTGCAGGGTGTTTCTAAAAGTAAAATGGATTGTGAAATCTGGCCCAGCTTTCTAATTGTCCCACGTGAGAGCCTGTATTTAAATATTGCTGAAGTTCTTGATATACAGGATCAGTTTGCATATTATCATTTATCCACAATGCGCCATATTACACAATTACATGAGCTCTGTAGTCACTGGCCCCAAGAAATTTTACAGTATCACCCTAAAAACAGGGCAAACATGCTCCTTTTAGACATGGGAAATTGAGGCAATGCATCTTAGCAACACAAGAGCAAAACAAATAGCGATGCACCTCCACAGCAGTCTGGGAGCAGACACGGCAGTCAAGGTCCTGCCTTGCACCCTCCACACACAGGTTTCCTCTCCCCTGCTTTAGGAAACTCTCACAACTACAGACCTGGCCCTTCAGCAAACACAAGATGTTCCAGTGCCGGTGAGAAGCTCGTTCAAGGGGAATGCTGCTCACCAAAGCCTGAACAAACCATGTGTCTGAACACCGTCATGAGGAGCCCCAAGAGTGCTGCCCTGTGAGATATTCTACACCCACATGGCACACACACCTCTGCCAGTCTCTGTTCTGTCATGCTCCTGCAAACGATCAGCAATTCCATCAAGAACAGACTTAACAAGAGTATCTCAAGCCCCAGGCAGAAAAACCAGAAATGCTTTGTCCAGCATTTTACGTTGGGCAACTCCTGGCACCCGGGACCTTTTTATTTATTCTATCAAGTTTTGCCAATACTGCAAGCCAGGAACCTGTCTTCGTTAGTTTGCTGGCCAGTGGCCAGGACATCTCTGCGGTGCTGGAACTTGTCATAATCCAAGGGGACAGCGTGGGCTGTGCTGGCCTTGGCTCTGCTGTCGCTGCAGGAGTGCGGAGCGCGGCCTCGCCTTACATCGCTCCCCGGGCTCCTCTCCCCGGGTGTGCTCGGCACTTTCGCTCTGCATCCTCCTGCCAAATTTGTTCGGGGTGTTATTTTTATGCACTGAATTCCTCGCAATCAGAGGTAGGTCAAATAAGCACAGCAATCTGAATGTCATGTGCCCAGCAGCCGACTAATCCTTGCATCAGCAAGTTTCCCAGCTGTCACAACAGCCACAAAAGGGCTGCTTGGAGGCTCTGATGCACAAGGAATCGGCCAAGGAGGAAACCCACTCTGCAAGGTAAGGCCCCTCAGTGCCCAGCACGGGAGCCAGATGCCTCTGCCAGGCTCTGCATTATTTAAACACTCTGTGCTCACAACAGCGGCCAAATTTTCACAACAGTGAAGTGGCTGGACTGTTTAATGTGCTTAAGCTTTGTTCTCAATGGGGGATGATGACTGCCAAGTGTTTTGGAAAGAACTTAGCCCCTCTATTTAAGTTGCTGAGATGAGAACTCTTGAGCATTAAGCTCTTTTGGAAATCCAGCTGCAGAGCTCCACGGTGGTGGTGGTGGTGGAAGCAAGCCGGGAACAATTGTTAATGGAAACTTCCCCTCATACCACCCTAGTGATGTGTCTCAACCGTGGCCTGGAGAGACCACAACTGTGTCAACACTGGCCTTTTTGTCTGGAGCCTTTCCCACTTATAGAACTCCACTCAATCAAGAAGGGGTATGCCAGGACAGACACAGCTCCAGGTGTCTCCTGGCAAAGGGACCAGCAGGTTTTGACAACCCCAGCAATTCTGCTGCCCTAACATCTTGCCCTTGCTAACGCTTTTGGTGTTTCTCTGGCAGATATTAGCATAGTGGAAAATTTTCCATAAAAAAGGACTTAAAAGAAAGTTTGCTGTTCTAATCCTTTCAGTCAACGTCCTCCTCCTCCCAGCAGAGACTGCCAGTGAGAAGTCCAATGTAATGGCAATATTTTCAGTCTGATTGCTTTTTCAGAGAGAAGTGGACTGAGGCCATTCGCTTGTGTCATCGAGGTGACCAAACTGCTGGTAAAAAAAAATAGAAGCTTTAAATTCCTTGCAGTAATTAAAATTCCCCATTCAAAAGTATAGCAGCATTTTTGTACACGTACAAAACCTCAAATGCTGATCTGGTATCATAGGGAGTTCAATCACCACATCCTGACTCTTAATTTCCCCTTTTTGAAACATCCCACCTACCAGCTGTGCCCAGGAGAGTGAAGACAGAAATAACCTCTTCAGCTGCACTACTGCTTGGCAGACTTCTTATCTGTACTGCAAGAGATCCCTGGTAAATTATGTGGAACACAATTCTGAATCATTCAACTCCCATAGAAATGTGTCTGATTTTCAGAAAATCTCCCTTCTCACAGCCCTTCTACACTCCTCATCAGCTCAACAGCTGGCTGGAGAACAGCACTGAGATGAAGAAAAGGGAGTGAAAATGTTCTAATCAAAATATTTTTCCCTATTTTTTACACACATTGGAGGGAAATAAAAGAGGAGTTTCCTACTCAATTTATTAGCAGCCCAGAGATAAAACATGTGTTTGCTAATCATTTTTCTTTATATAAACGGAAGGCACTTTGTGT